ATAATGATATTTATAATAATAATAGAAAAGATATTATTAAAATGATATTTTACCTAAACAAATCCTTCGGTTAATCACCAGTAAAAATATCATTAGGTAGACAAACTTGATTTCCAATAATGCAAGCATAGCCCAAGGGTTGCAGATGTTTATACAGATGTACTTATTAAAACTAGTGTTTGGAATTAAAAACAAAAAAATTTATGTATGTATTCATAAGTGCGCCATTTTTTATTGTAATCAACTCAGAAACTAAATTACATCAGGTCAAAATACAGAAAATAAGTTTTTTAAATGCTTCTTGTATTTTGACAATAAAGTTTTGGTAAAATCTCATTCTGTACACGAGGAAAATGACACGTACAATAAAAATATCAAGCACAAACTATTTTAAGCGTTTAATTTATCTAATATCTCTTGCTGGCAGTCAACTATAGTAAGACAACGAGCAAATAGATATACACATAAACTATAATGAGAAACATTAATGATTCTTTTAAAATACTTAACACTTTTAATAAATATCACACTGTGCACGCCAGCTACGTTCAACCAACTACAATGGATTTAATAAACTCTAAAGTTTAATTTAATAGCACATCGTAATCTCCCTTTCATTGTAGGATTTCTTACATGTTTTTGCATAAAAATTCATAGATAGTCGTGTGATGCAAGCACATGCCTAAAATTTACTAAGTGTACGAGCTAGAATAAAAGTTCTCTCTATGAGTGAATTTATAAGGTTATTTATTGTACCGTTAGAACGAACTGTTGATGTAAATAAATTTCAGCAAATGAACTTTAAATTTACCTAGTTAGCCAGGGTCAACGTTCCCAAAAGTAGTTTGAAGGAAAAAGTGTCACATTTGGTCAAAAGAAGCGTTGCAAATGAAACCTTGTCTATGGATATGTACGTGTACACGAGTGTAAAACGTCCTCGAGCGTACAGGTATACATGATAGCATCAGAAACGCTTGTATATCCCGCGATAAGCGCCGGCGTGTACCATATGACACTTTCAAGTGCGTACCCCATTTCAACACCTGGTATGACCACTAACGACACGTAAATGCGAAAAAATATCAACACCCACCAGTTTGTTCTACGTATCTACTTTCCTACCACCATTTGATTTATCCATTGGCGTTTAGGGATCAGACAAGTATTTGTAGAATCTGTTGTAAGGTTTTTACGCGATTTATCGGTAAGAGAATAAAATTTGTAGTATAAGAATAAGAAAAGCAGTTTTTATTTTTTGAGAGACTTGCAACAAAGAAGAAGCGTAGGTGGAATATACTGTTGGGAAAAACACTATTATCTAAAACGGAAAGATAAGCTGACTAGCATAAATAACATTGCTCCTTTGGCCAGGTGTTTTGACTCTTCGATGGTCTTGTTAACTACTATCGGTCTATCAGAAGTCCATTTTTTTGACTCGTCTTTTAGGAAGAACAAACCTTTGTTTTACCTGTATTAATTGTAATGAGCGTTATAATTTAAATTTGTATTGTTGTTTTAAATCTATCCTTATCTGAATGAGGTAAGTAGTCACTCGCATTATCGTATATGGTTAGATGAATGGAAATCTGGACTATCTATAGTTTATGGAATGTGATCACTCATTACTTTATATAACTTTGTCGTTATCAAATAAATTCTTGTTTGAATTTACAATTAAAAAAAAGATAATAAAATTGTTTCTATACATTTAAGGAGTTACATACACTCGTTGCGATTGCCGCTGCAATCGATGGAAAATATAATTCGAAAGGATGGTACCACTTCGAAGTGGAACCAATTGTTGTTTGATATATACGACCACGATCGATTGGTTGAAAAGTTTGGAGGAAAGGGAGTACACGATTTGCCTTTATAGCTTTTAAAAAATGGTAGTGAAAGGTTTGCGAACGGCAAAGGAAAGGTAAAAAAAATAAGTGTACTCACGGACAAAGAGGTTGCTCATCAGGGTCGCCGGAAGACAGAACGAAATGACAAGGACGTCAGCGACCGCCAGGTTGACGATGAAAAAGTTGGTGACAGTGCGCATTCTCGGCGAGCGATAGACGACGGCAATGACCAGAAGGTTTCCAATTAGGCCCAGAACGAAGACGACGAAGTACGCGACAAAATAGACGACGGACATGGCTAAGCTGTGCCTCCACCACCTGTCCGTGACCTGCTCGACCGATAAATTGCTTGGCTCCTCACTCGAGACGTTGTAAAAAGTACCAATGGGCAGGTAGTCACCCCGCTCGGTGTAGTCCAGTGGCTGTCTCGTGCTTGTTAGCACAAGAAGCTCCTGCACCGATCCGTTCACGTACTCCGCGAACAACTCAGCCCGCAAGCCCACGGCGCTCCGCAGCTCGAACAATGAAGCTCCAAGCCCACCCGTCGGACCCGTCGGCAGGCCTGTTGCGGACTGCTGCCCGTTTAACCTCCGGCGTTCGAGGTCAAATTCATCTGAATCAGGAAGCCTCAGTGAGGCCATCTCCAGGAGGGGCGAGGGCGGCTGCAGCATCGGCCCCGGCAGATTGTGGTGCTGCTGGTGGTGGTGATGATGATGATGATGATGATGATGGTGATGGTGATGGTGGTGGTAGTGGTCGTAGTGGTCGTAGTGGTGGTAATAATGGTGTTGCAAGTATCTGCTGCTTGTCACAAGCTCCTCGACCATGGGACTGTTGCTATTGCCCGTACCGTTGCAGGCGCTCTATTACCAACCGATCTCGATCGAGGTCAGCTCGAGGTGCCGACAACTCGGGTGCTTTCCAGGCCAAGCAGGTTGAGTTCGATGCCCGCTTTCGTCGGCCACCGTGTACTGACGGGGTGGGATGGAGCTCACTGCTAAGAGCTCACTCAACTACGAGCGGTGCACTCGAGTCTGAGCTTTCGCTGATGCGGCTACTTCTGCCCAGCGAAAGGAGGGCAAACGACCCAACCAGCCCTACTTGAAAACGTACGAAGAGACCTTCTTGATCACCCACTTATCTTAGTCCACTTTGCCGCGACACAATTTTCGAGCACGTCTTTCCCTTTGAGTTCCGGCTGTTAGACTACTGTTTTCTCGCCCCTTTCAACGGGGGTGAAGGGTTCACTGTTCTATTCTACTGGTTTAATTTTGCTGAAGCTACGGCCATAGGTATTGGGGACCACCAAAAAGAGATCGAAGGACACGGATGGGTCCTGGATGGAAGGAGAATTGGGCTGGGAGCTAAGCAAAGCACACACTGCTGCCAAAGCGAGAAAAGTTTCCTTGGTTGAGCTAGTGGCGGGCTACAAATATCAGCACGCGCGTGTAGCCGACGAAAAGCACACTAGCGGTGGCTCGTTGACTCTGACGGTCGACGGGCTGTCTGTGGGCACCACTAGCCCGCGAGAAGAGCAGCCCAGCTCCAGAGCTTCCCGGCGCTCTGCTGCGCAAGCGTTGCCCCTCGCTTCAACTCTACTACTACTATATTACTACTGCTACTACTACTACTACTCTTACTCCTACAACTTTTACTACTACAATAACTACTACTACTACTACTTCTACTACTACTACTACTCTACTACTACTACTACTACTACTACTACTACTACTACTACTACTACTACTACTACTTCTACTACTACTACTACTACTACTACTACTACTACTACTACTACTACTACTACTACTACTACTACTACTACTACTACTACTGCTACTACTACTACTACTACTACTACTACTACTACTACTACTACTACTACTACTACTACTACTACTACTGCTGCTGCTACTACTACTACTACTACTACTACTACTACTACTACTACTACTACTACTACTACTACTACTACTACTGCTGCTGCTGCTGCTGCTGCTGTTAGTACTACTACTAATACGGCGACACTGATGTCGCGTTTTTTTGTTATATCTGTGCCACCAACGCTGTCAAAGCCAATGTTGCTGTTGGAAGCAAGGCCGAAGTGCACTGCACAGCTTAACTAGGTACAATATATAGTTGTAAGAGTACACGTGTGCAAGTTTGTACGTGCATGTGTGTGCACAGCCCACCCGCGCCTCTTCGTGCCCCGCTGACCTGTGTCAGCCTTTGCACGTGTTGCTGAGCACATATAGGTATGCTACTGCGATTGTCAGTGTTGTGGCCCGTTTGATCAAGCCTCGAGCTGCGGGGGTAAGGGCCGCTGTAGGGCCGTAGATGAAGGGCACGCTCATAGGAACGGAAGGGTCCATTTATACTTTGGGTAAATATAAATGAGTATCAAGTTTTTGGTTTGTATGGCCGTACCAATTTAATTTAATAATCCAGATTATTGAAAACCAATAAAATCAAAAACTGTGTTGTAAAAAAGACCACAGTTATTATAAATTTTTTTTTAAACTAATGAGAGCTTCGTATTAGTTAAAAAAAATTTAATTTCAATTAATACACAATATTTTAAATAAAGTTGAAAATTACAGTTAATGCTTATTTTTCTACATGTATACACAATAAGGAGTTTTAATTTAAATACTCTCATTACTTCGAAAGTGTATGCCTAATATTTACTAATATTATACCTAATATTTACTTTCATAATACAATAATCCCTGAAATACATGTGCTCTTTTTTTTTTAAAAAGCCTAGCTTTAGATTAACGTGAATTACCTACCTGTCTTATTTTATAAAATTAGCTATTACATTTAAAATCCAGATGTTTGGACAAAAAAATTAAAAAATACTATTTTATCTCATAAAAAAATGATATCGTTCTAATTCCATTATTTTACAGCTCATCAGCTAATAATTTAATAGTCACATTTATAAAAAACTAAGGGTCGAATAAAATTGTTAAACTCAACTTACATTTTGCCAATCAAAATCTGTAACACTCGTAATTTTTCAGTTAATTAAGTGTAGCAGTAGCCTTCACTTAATAAAAACACATATTTTTGTCACCTCAAACAGTACTCGCACTGGGAGGAAAAAATAACCGTAATTTATACCATAATGACAACGGTAAAAGTGAAGTGCTCTGAAGATAATTATTCTTTCTGGCTATAGTTTAGAAGTAATTCATTCAACAACTTCTCCGTAGACAAGATGATATCAAGATCTTGTCTTGAAAAATCAAGATGCATAATATCAACACGAGATTCGAAGAAGTTTGTTGAGACAAAAATAAAAAAAGCTATAGAATAAAATCATATCGTGAAGATACAACATTCAAGATCTTGAATACATTGATAGTATGTTATCATAAAATAATCGAAAATTATAAAATAGCCCAGGTAAGAGAACTTGAACTTCGTGACCATGAATTTTTTTTCTTTGTCACGTAGTTGAAAATGTACTGATTTATAAACTGAGTTAACTTCTTATCTGAAAAAATGGTACACTTATTTTTTAGATAAAAAATTCATTAAAAAAAGAAATTTTTATATTTTTCGAATTATCTCCTTACCACTCATTTCGATACCTCGTGATACTTAATAATTTTCACTGTTCAGCCCCACCGATATAGCTTACGAGTTGCTATACTGTATAGCTGTTGTGTCAAAATAGCCACACTTGAGCCTTAGAGCGATGATAAACCAAAACAAAATAGTAAAATTAAAAAATTTTACATCTTGAATTTTTAAAAAATATTCATTTTTACTGATTTCTTAAAAATATCTTTGGATTCACTCTTTTTTGCCTGGTATAAAACCCTTGAACTTTTGAATTCGAAACTAAGGTGACTCGCTCTACCATAAATTAAAAAGTTTTTCAGGACAGATATTAAAAAAAAAAAGTTGTATAACTTTCCAAAGCTAAAATAAGATTTTTTTTCAAAAGTTTACTGCAACGTCAATTATACAACAGTTTTGCCAAAACTAAGACATATTTAAATTAAACAAGCATATTCTTAGTAATAAGACGTTCAGCAAATAAGGTAAGAACATCCTTACCTTAAGTGAAATAATTTTTCATAGACTACTGAAAAATCAAAGTGATTGTAAACGGTGGGGTAGAGTGTGACTTTCTTCGTATTTACATGATCCTTCGTAATCGTAAATTATAAAACGATGAAAGTCATAAAAAAACTCATTCTATTATATTTTTGGAAAAATATGGGTAGTTGCGTCGAATGAGAGGTGTATGGAACTAGCTCAAGTTCAGGTAGTGGCCATTAGCCAGCACTAGAAGTCCGGCTCCCATGTCCAATACTCCTTAATAATATAATAATTATAATTCATTCGTGGCTATTGGGATTATAATTCAGCCATCAGAGCCACGTACAGACTGATTTTATAAGCTGGAAGAGTAGGCACTTAGAAAAAGTAAAAGGTATAAATAATACAATAATATTGCTGTCTTACTATTAAATAACAGTAAGATTGTGATTATTTAAGAAAGTTGAAAGAAAGTGACTGCAAAAATAAGTGATTAACAAAAAAAAAAAATCTGTGTGGTCTCAGAAAAGCTCAAATTTTTTGCTATACCAAGAATTGTACTAGCACTGGTTATATAAGAAATATTTATTATTTGATGATTTGTCGAGAGACAAAATAATACATTTACGTGCTTAGAGTATGATTTCTATTTAACAAGTTAGAAAGACGTATTAAGGAGGTAACGCAAAAAATAAGAAATGTTAAATAACGCTCAAATAAAGCTATGTTTTTTTAAACAGCATTTTATGAGCGTATACACTTTTCCAATATTTTTTCCTGAACGTATTTAAAGAAAATAAAAAACTTATTTGATTACACAATTTGACGCAGGTTAAACTACCATTTAAGTAAATTCCAACTTTTTACAGGCAGTTCAAAAATATCTATTTAGTATAAATAAGCTTATTAAGAAAAGAATAAACAAAGAAACAAAAAAATTCGAAGAACAACCTTCGAAAAGCTGTACTTTTAATGAAATTTAATTAACTACCTTCACAACAGCTTATGTTTAATTTTAGAATGAAATGTTTTTTCTGTACAAAATACATCTGGTAAAAATACTGACAAAATTTATACGCACATTTAATGTTTTCAAAATAATATAGTTTAAGTTCAGTGTTAGCTAACATTCTTTATTTTTCATCGGAACCTTATTTAAAAACATACCATCACGTTTTCAAAACATTAAAAACCTTCTAGCATTGATTGACTGCATCGAAGTAGCCATTCAGAGATCAAAAAATGTATGCTATCAAATTGTCACATAAGGGCTGTCAAACCTTTTGAACAAGCATACCAGCTTCTTCCAGTTTCAGATATATATTTTTCATTATATTATATAGTACTAGCGGACCCCCTGTTTCGGATTCCCCGAGATTCATGAGTGGAACACCGTAGTGGGATGACACGTAATTCTAATTAAAAAAATTATTTTTGTTTGGAATCCATACAGTTTTGGTCGAATATTAAGCTGTAAGAATGTTTGAAAAATTGAATGATGCTGAAAATTATCGTGCGTTCCTTACACCATAAAATAGTTGTTGGCCCTAAAGATCTGTTACCCCTGACTTTTTCATGTTATAATAAATGAAAAAGGCTATTCACGTGATAG